TGTCAATAAAATTTGTTGATACGCTTCTGAGAGGTCTATTTTAGAGAATTTTTTTCCACCTTGTAGTTCTGAGAAAATATATTCTATACGCGGCAAAGGAAATTGTTAAACTTGCAAACAAGGGTTTATGGTAACTTTAAAGTCACCACATATTCGTAATGATCCGTCTGGCTTTAAAATTGGGACAATTGGGGTTCCCCAATTTGAAAATTCTGTTGGGACCAATACCCCAATTTTTACTAATCGATCTAACTCTTTTTCAATCATAGGTTTGAGTGCAAATGGCACCGGTCTTGGTTTAAAAAATTTTGGTACGGTACCTTCTTTTACATTTAAAGCAATTGGAAATTTATTGAAAGTGCCAATTTCTCTGTCAAAAATTTCGTGGTACTTTTTTAATAAATAGGAAATTTTGGTAGATGGACTTACATTTTTATTATTATTATCACATGATACGTATTTAATTTTATTTATACCTAAATTTAACATTTGAAGCCCATTTCTACCTATTAGTGGAGGTCCACCATTTTTAATAACGTAAGTTTTTAGCACAAATGATTTATTTTCAAAAACAATATTGGCGTTGCAATAGCCCAAAGGTTCAATAGTAAAACCTACATAATCTTTTAATGTCAAGTCACTTTTATTTAAAATTATATGTTTAAAATGTTTTAAATAAAGCTTTTCCGAAATTGCAGAATGAGCGAATCCCGAATCTGCTTCAAAATTTAATGGAATTTTTTCTACTAGTAGTTTAATATAAGTAGGTTTTACGTTTCCTTGATTGTCTATTAACGTTTCCTGAAATACTCTGATATTAAAAATAGTTTCGTCCACATTATCATAATCATCATTATCAGTAATATTTGTTAAAAAATTTTGAGCTGCTCTTTTATTACATTGGGGTGCCAAATGTCCCTTAATTCCGCAGCGGTGGCAAATACAATTTTTATAAGCGCACTGATTGGAAAAATGGTTTTCACGACCACATACACTACACTTACTTGTTGATGACTGCTGACGGTAACTGGGTTTATCGCCACTTACTCTTTGATTTGTACGGCCCTGCTGGTACACTTTAACACCACTTGAAGATGGCATTTGCTGCTGTTGTACTGAAGTTGACTCGTACCCTCTCCGCATCGGTCTGTGATAATTTACCGGTTCAGATTTCACCACCGCACTTAAGCTATTTCGGGTAGTGTGTTCCTGAATAGCGGATTCTTTAGCTAAAGCTATTTTTACCACTTGTTGTAAATTAACCTTTGTTGCATCTTCTTCAAACAGACGATCCATAATTCTTTCGTCATTAATGCCCACTACAAATAGGTCACGCATAACCGTATTTAACTCGGTTTGGAAACCACAATTTGAAGCTAAACTTTTGACTCTTGCTTCCCAATCTGATACACCTTCATTTAATAACCGTTTACTATTGTAGAATTTTAAACGTTCCGCAAAATACGATTTTACGGGCGAAAAATGTTCGATTAAAATTGTAATCAATTCGTCGTAACTTTTAGTATCTGGCAAATTTGGCACACACAAATTTCTAACTAAAATATAACAGTCTTCCGATAGTGTGTTTAACAAAATAGCCTTTTTTTGTTCGGCTTCCGCAATTTTGTTTGCTATAAAAAACTGTTTAAGTCTTTCTGTAAATACTGAAAAATTCGAAGATTTGGGGTCAAAAGTATTTAAACTTCCCAAAAGTCCAATACTTTCTTGTTTGTTAAGCATTTTTTTTTTATTTTGTTTTTTTTTAGCACCGGCACCGATTTAATTCACAATCTATATTTTACCGAAAGGTCACCGGCAAAACAAAAACAATACCGATAAAATAATTTCAGTAATTATGAAGAAACACTGCTACGATTGCACTTTTAGTTAATTACGCGTGGATTTTAGATCACTACTCGCCGCCAATTGTTATATATGTTACTATCGCCGTTTATGTTATTTTAACACAGATTTTAGTATAAATAAAAGTCACTAATTTGAGGAACTATTTATTCTTTTTAGTCTCGAGTCTCGACACATACTGGTTGGAAATAAAAACTGAAAAACATTTTATATGAATTATACAGGGTGTACCTAACAGGTAGTTACGCCACTGCCGTGTATATTATTATTTTGCTACCAATTGTCTCATATTTGTTAAGGAACTTTGTTATACAATTCTGTAAAATGAGTTTTGACCCGTAAATAAATAAAAAAAAATTTAAAACTTGAAGCTGAAAACCGAAGCTGGCTGTCACATTTAGCATATAGGCGATTACCTAAGTGACGCGCTCTACTGACTACATACTCGTATAAGTATAAAAATTGTTTAAACTTTACTTAAGTTTTCTTATAAATATAAAAAATCCCTAGGTGATTGCCGTTATTTATCGATTTTTCCCAAGAATCACTAAGTTTTAATTATATTTTATATTAATAACTAAAACTCATTTTAAATAATAAAAAAAATAGTCAACTTGATATTAAGTAATGAATTGTAATTGATAGAAAACATAGAATTGGATATAAATATATATTATATTCATTCAATAGACTAATATCGCCCACATATTTATTTTGTATATCGTGCAAAAATTAGAAAAATAAATAATATACCTACATGTGGATGTGGATGCAGAATTTTTTTTTCACTTACCTGTATTGAGGATCTATATCAGATTATTTGTTAATTCTGTAATCGTGCACAACGCCAAACACATCGGTTTTCTATTCAGTCAGAGGGGTCTATTCTGTAACAATTCCTTCATATTTAACGGCCTTTAAAAATATTTTATTCTTTACTTCTGTCATTATTTAAACGATCTTTAAAATACATTAGAGGACTATCTTAAAGAAATCTGTTTAAATAATGACAGAAATAAATTAACGAATACGAACATATGTTTAAAGGCCGACAATATTTTTAAAGGCCGACAATATTTTTAAAGGCCGTTAAATATAAAGGAATTTTTACAGAATAGACCCCTTAGTCTGTTTTAGTTTTTAGTTTTCAATTCGCGACAAGTCAAAGCTTGAGTCGGCCGTTCGCGCCGGCGTAGTTTGGTCTCTAAAAGGATCCGAGACTGATATTGATGATTCGAATACGAATCCTTTAGGATTTTTTCTGCGAATCCGGATCACGAATCCTTTTTTTCTAAAGTATTCGAATCCCGCACTCGGATCCTCAAAAAGGATTCGAATCCTCCCCAGCTCTGCTTATAGAGGTCCGGATTTAAAGAAATTTATTTGGTTTTACGTTTTCTTTTTGGTTTGGTGGTTTAACGACCATGCGATTTTTGCCAGATTTGTCAATTGACAGAATTTAAGGTTATTTAATTGACATATGTCATTTATCGTTTCTTCTTTTTTTTTGGTCTTTTATAGTCAGTGCTGTTGTTAGGATCATGATTTGTACAAAATTTTATATTATACATATGTTTGTATTTTTATTATTATTATTATTATTATTATTATTATTATTATTATTATTATTATTATTATTATTATTATTATTATTATTATTATTATTATTATTATTATTATTATTATTATTATTATTATTATTATTATTATTATTATTATTATTATTATTATTATTATTATTATTATTATTATTATTATTATTATTATTATTATTATTATTATTATTATTATTATTATTATTATTATTATTTTTTTTTTTTAATTTGGTGTCATCGGCGTCGACTACTACGGCCATTAGCCTCGTGTTCTGTGTAGGCTTTGTTACTGTTTCCCAGCGCCACTTTAGGAACAGCACTGTTAATTAGAACCCAACAGTGAATGGTCGAGTGGGGAATCCTACCAAGGCATCAGAATTAATTTTAAATAATTAAATTAAATGAAAAAATCCCGGCCAACGGTGGGATTCGAACCTGAGACCTTCCGATCTCAAAGTCATGACTCTAACCACTGAGCCAACCCACCCCCCTATATATTATTATTATTATTATTATTATTATTATTTGAGAGAATTATCTCAGGTTAACCTGGGTTATTTTCGCAGTATTCTGGGGTGCTGGTGCACCAACAGTATATGCTTGGATTCGGCTAATTTGTCTGTGAGCCAAGAAATCTTCGGACAATATGACACGTGTCAAGCACCACATATTTATTTATTTGTGTTAAGGTGTGTTTTACATTTAGTTGTTCTAAATGTTTTGTAAGTGTATGTGGCACAATTCCAGTTGCAGATATTACTAGTGGGTGTATTTTAACTGTATTTACCCTCCACATTTATTTTATTTCCGTAGCTAGTTCGAGATATTTATTAATTTTTGTAGCATTTTGTAGCATATGTGGTTTGGATATTATGACTGAGGGGTACTGCTACATCTATTATTGCTACTTCCTTCTTTATTTTATCAAAGACTACAATGTCTGGTCGATTAGCTTTGATGCGGATGTCGGTGCGTATTTCTCTGTCCCAATACAGTTTATATTGTAGGTTCTCTAATACAGGAGTAGGGTCGTATTTGTAGTAGGGTTTGTCTTCATTAATGAGTCTCGAGTTCTTCGCTAGCTGTTGATGAATAATTCTGGCTACATTATTGTCTCTGCGTGTAGTCCATTGGTGCTAACGTTTGACACCCGCCTATAATGTGTTCAATGGTTTCGTTTGATGATTCACATCTTCTACATTTGTCAACGATATTTTTATCTTTCAATATGAACTTTTGGTAATTTCTTGTATTTATTACTCGGTCTTGTATAGCGCCTATGAATCCGACAGTCTCAGCAAATAGAGTTCCCCTTAGATATAAGTTTGATGCTTCAGTATCAGTATTTTCGTGGAGCAGGTGATGTGCGTGACTCCCGTGCAGTTCTTTTTGCTTCTATCTTCGTATTTGAGACTGGGTCGAAAATCTATTATCTTCAGGGTCATATTCAATATCGCTAAGTTTTAAAGGTGTGCTTTTTGTATCTGCTTGACATACTGCTCTAAACAAGGCATGATTAGTGGATTTTTCATGAAAGTATTGCCTGAGAGACTTTATTTGCGATTGGTGAAGACGGTGGATATCTAGTATGCCTACACCTCCCACATCTATCGGTAATGATATTCTTTCTATAGCTGAATTGGGATGGTGCATTCGATATTTTGTTAATATTACACGAGTCGTTCGACATATGGATTCCAGGTCAGTAGCAGACCATTTTATAATACCAAATGAATATGTTAGTGTCGGTATGGCATATGTATTTATAGCCTTTATTTTGTTTGCACTGGTGAGGTTTGTTTTGCATATTGCTTGTATTCGTTTTTTAAAGTCATCTATTAGCTTTACTTTAATTTCACTGTGGTTGATTCCTCTGAGTTGCATGATTCCTAAGTATTTATAATTGTCTCCTGGGTTAAGGCTTTCTATGACTTTATCGTTGTCCATATTAAAATTATTAGAGCTATTTAAGGTCCCTTTTTTAAGATCAATTATCTTGCATTTATCTAGTCCAAATTCCATATGGATAGAGTCACTGAAAGTTTTAGTAATTTTTAATAGAGTATTAAGTTTTGTTCTAGAGTTTGCATATATTTTTAGATCGTCCATATATAAAAGGTGGGATATTTTGCAGTTATTGCCCTGTTCGTTTTTAATAATAAAGCCATATTGCGTGTTGTTTAATGTTCGACTTAGTGGATTTAAGCACATACAGAACCATAAAGCACTTAGTGCGTCTCCCTGAAATATTCCTCGTCTGATTTTAATCGATCCTGATTTTTGAGTTGTCTTGTCTCCTCATAAATGCAACTCCGTTGACCAGTTGGTCATTATATGTTCTAAGAAGTTTATTATGGCTGGGTTAATTTTATAGATCTTCAATATTTCGATTAAGTATGAATGAGGCACTGAGTCGAAGGCCTTTTTATAGTCTATATATGCAATACTCATATTTCTTTGGTTTTTAATAGCTTGATCTACTGCTACTGTATCAATTACAATTTGATCTTTGCTTCCCTTTGAATTTTTATAACATCCTTTCTGTTCTTCTGTCATGATGTTGTTATGATAAGATGGTCTTGAATTTTAGAAGTGATTACCGATGTAAGTAGTTTATATAGAGTGGGTAGGCATGTAATGGGTCCGTATTTAGATGGATTTGTCGTGTTATTATCTTTTGGAATAAGATAAGTTTTACCTTTAGTAAGAAAAATGGGGGCTGTTGCTGGTGTTCTTAATATGTTGTTGAAAAATATAGCTATTTTTTGTGCGTTACTGTAAGTTTCTTGTACCAGAAGTTACAGATTTGGTCTAGACCAGGGGCTTTTCAGTTAGATGTCTTTTTAATTACATTTGCTATATCATTTTCAGTAATATACATTTCGTTCATTATATTAATATCTTCTGCCCTTACTTTTTCTTCTATAAGCCATTCGGAATTTACTTGATGTGTTTTTGGCTCTTCCCATATTTTTGACCAGAAGTTAGTAACTTCCATCATTGGTGGAACTCCCTCTGTATAGTCAATATTGGTCCCATTTAGTTTACGATAGAATCCCTTCTGATTTCTACAAAACTCGGCATTTTGTTGTTTTCGTTCAGTACATGCTTTATACCGTCTTAATCTTTTTGCAAAAGCAGATAGTTGTGTGAATTTATCCATTATTTCGGTTAGAGTATCCTCGTTCATTTCGTTTAAATTCATGGGTGCTACGATTTTTTCAGCATTTTTTCTCAGTTTTTTTTGATATATTTGGTGCATTTTTTTTGTATTGAGTAAGCCTGCCTATCTTTGATCTAAGGATATTAATTTTATTTTCCAGTCGTATCATCCAGGGGGGTTTTCTAATAGGTTTTATGTCTTTTTCATTATTATTATTATTATTATTATTATTATTTTTTTTTTTTTAATTTGGTGTCATCGGCGTCGACTACTACGGCCATTAGCCTCGTGTTCTGTGTAGGCTTTGTTACTGTTTCCCAGCGCCACTTTAGGAACAGCACTGTTACTTAGAACCCAACAGTGAATGGTCGAGTGGGGAATCCTACCAAGGCATCAGAATTAATTTCAAATAATTAAATTAAATGAAAAAATCCCGGCCAACGGTGGGATTCGAACCTGAGACCTTCCGATCTCAAAGTCATGACTCTAACCACTGAGCCAACCCACCCCCCTATATAATTATTATTATTATTATTATTATTATTATTATTATTATTATTATTATTATTATTATTATTATTATTATTATTATTATTATTATTATTATTATTATTATTATTATTATTATTATTATTATTATTATTATTATTATTATTATTATTATTATTTTTTTAATTTGGTGTCATCGGCGTCGACTACTACGGCCATTAGCCTCGTGTTCTGTGTAGGCTTTGTTACTGTTTCCCAGCGCCACTTTAGGAACAGCACTGTTAATTAAAACCCAACAGTAAATGGTCGAGTGGGGAATCCTACCAAGGCATCAGAATTAATTTTAAATAATTAAATTAAATGAAAAAATTCCGGCCAACGGTGGGATTCGAACCTGAGACCTTCCGATCTCAAAGTCATGACTCTAACCACTGAGCCAACCCACCCCCCTATATATTATTATTATTATTATTATTATTATTATTATTATTATTATTATTATTATTATTATTATTATTATTATTATTATTATTATTATTATTATTATTATTATTATTATTATTATTATTATTATTATTATTATTATTATTATTATTATTATTATTATTATTATTATTATTATTATTATTATTATTATTATTATTATTATTATTATTATTATTATTATTATTATTATTATTATTATTATTATTATTATTATTATTATTATTATTATTATTATTATTATTATTATTATTATTATTATTATTATTAATATTATTATTATTATTATTATTATTATTATTATTATTATTATTATTATTATTATTATTATTGTATTCTGATATTCGGCAAGCTGGTTATTCAAAATAAACCTTTTTTTTTCTTTGAATTATGATGTTAAAATTCGAGGGAACTGGTTTAAGAATTTAAATTTACCTTTTGATAATAAAACTCGCTATCTTAGTGAAGATTTTTTTGTGCCAGAGTCTTTTAGCAAAATTGCCATAAAACATAAACGACTAATTGTAAATGCTGTACCAATTTTATTAGATAATAGTAAACCCAGTTCAACTGTACCGAACTATATTCAAACCGAGAGTCAGATTTTAGAACATGTTGAGGCTGAAGCACATACACAGCAACATAAGATAGATTTGCTAGTTCACAACGAAAAACAAGGGATGAGTTGCAAACGTAAATTTAGTATTAGTGATTAACAATTTAAACAACCCTCAAAACGCAGAAAAACTGTTTTGCGACAAATAAATGAAAGTAGAGTCAAAAATTTAACTCCTAAAGAGACAAATGATTATTAATTACAGAATTTAAAGGATATCCTTTTGTTATCTGTCAAAAATAAAAAGTAATTTTCAAATATTTATTAGATCATCTAGAACAGATTTGTTTTAAAGTTAAAATAATATTCAAATTAACTATTAAACTATGAGAAATATTTTTTTTATAAACTAATTTTATTCTAATTAAAATTAACTTGTACTTATAAGAATTGGCAACATTTTGATAAGAGAAATTGTTCAATACACTTTTTTTGTTTTTATAGAAAACGCCATGAGAAAACAGCTAACAACTGCATCGAAAATTGGTCCATTTTCCAAGAATGAGAGGAGACTACTATTAATTTCACTAATTATTGTTATTTAATATTGAGTACATGTTATGTATGTATTAAATGATTAAACTATACCTGTTTTTCAAGTATTTTAGCATAAATAGTTCTTTATTTATATTTTTTGGAGTTCTATTACTTTAAAAAACTAATATTTATGTTAAATGCAATATTTTAATTTAAATATTATTTTTTTTTTTTTGAATGAGTTCCAAAAAATGTAAATTAATAATAAAATACATTTGAATGAACGCTGAGAATGAACTGGAGAAAATAGACACTCTTCTTCTCTGCTGCCTTTAACTATCAAGCCAGTTGTATAATGTGCGATGGTGGCTCCAAATAGTATGCTGAGGAACTAAACGTGTTACCAGTGCCGTGCATGTAAACGATTTATCTTACATATTAATTTATCTATGCTGCAATTAATCCAGCGCAGCGCGTAATTCGCTCCGTGCGAAGTCATGGAAAGGGAAGCAAAAGCGATACTAGCGCTAGCTGCGGATAACTCGTGCATTTTAGGGCGATATTTTGTAATTTTGGCATATCAATTACAGGTATACATTTTACTTTTTTTCAAAAAAGTAGGTAAAAACAATACAATAAGCAAAGACATGTTGTAACGTCTTTGACAATAAGCAACCGGAGATGCTGTGTTGAAAATTGTACAAATACTAGCAAAAAAAAACAGTGAAACTTATATAAAAAATATCAGTAGCAAAGTGGAAATTAAATCAAAGAAATAAATGGATAGGTGTACAATAAGAAGAAAAATTACCTTTATTTTTGTAATAATAACAATAAAGCTGAAAATAGTAGACATCAGAAACTTGAAAGGTTTTAAATAAACAATAAATTATAATTTTACGATGTTCTTTAATATCCCTTTATTCTTAAATGTTCATTTAGCAAGGACTAGATTTCAAGATTTCTGCCTTTGATTATTATGTGTGGCTGGAATGCAATTTAGTGAGTTACTGATGGGAAACCAGTTTTAATAATTCATTCTATGTTTTCTTTCGAACAAAAATGAAAATATAAATAACGATCCATTGTTAGACATTTTATCTTCACGCTATTATTAAATGGTATTTTTTTATTTTGACAGAATAGGCTAATTCTTCAATGACAACTTATTAGACTTAGGCAACTTCTTATACATTTTCCAGTAAATACTGTTGCCTGCCTATATTTTATTATTGATTTTTATTGATTATAGATAATTTTCTTTAATTTAAGCGGTAAAAATATATAATAATAATAAATTTATGTTTTACTTGTTTTACAAATCCGTATACTTTTATTAAAACTAACATATATACTTTTTATTTACGAATTCTATTAAAAATTGTATTTGTCAGTATACGCAGAAATAGTCCATTAGTACCAAAAAGAATTGGCGCTGCTGTCGCGCACGGAGCGAATACGTACGGCCCAGTATAATTCGTACGGTGTCGATTCTTTCGAATTTTTTCGCGACTTTTGAGTTTACGGCGAGTTAAAGTAAAAAACAATAATTTTAAGGGTGCGTGTATTGTGTTTTTGTGTATTGCTGACAATCATTTATGTACTATGGAAGTGGTCTTCAATTTAATTAACGTAATTTTTTTAACATACATATGAAGAAAAGATGGAATTAAAAGCAAAAGGTAGGCCATTACCAGATAGAATATAGAAAAAACTGGTATATGTAAAGGAAAAAGTTATACACGAAAATTTAATAGAGATATTAATTCAAAAAAACGATGGATCTGTGGATGT